AAAAAATCGCGGGTGGTATGTTGACCGCATTAAAATTGTTTAAAACGCACCGTGTTGGACTACACGGCACTCTGCCACGCTCTGTCTCATAGACTTCACGCTAGTACTTACTGGCTCTCTGCAGTTTTGCTACACTCTCTCTCTCTCTCTCTCTCGAGCACGCCTGATTGGATGCTCATCTCTCTCACTCTCTCTCTCTCTCGAGCACGCCTGATTGGATGCTCATCTCTCTCACTCTCTCTCTCTCTCTCTCGAGCACGCCTGATTGGATGCTCATCTCTCTCACTCTCTCTCTCTCTGACTCACTAGAGCACTCCAAATGTGGATGCTCTCCTCTTGTTCTCTCTCACTCTAGAGCACGCCAAATGTGGATGCTCTCCTCTCGTTCTCTCTCTTTTTGAGCACGCCAAATGTGGATGCTCCCTTTCCTTTCTCTCTCTTTTCGAGCACGCCAAATGTGGATGCTCTCTTTTCTTTCTCTCTCTTGTTGAGCACGCCAAATGTGGATGCTCTCCTCTCTCTCTTGCACGTTTGAGTACGCCAGGTACTCCCTTTTTGCTCTCTCTCTTTTCTCCCGGGCGCTTGCTGATGAAACCCGCACCGACTGTCTTATGACGTCATCGCGACTCTGAGAGCGCCCACAATCCCTTTGGTAGATTGGCCTGGTCCTCCGAGTTCTCCCTCTGGCTGGGGCCGCGACAAGTGAACAATAAAAAATTAGAGATAATTGAAACCGCGATATAGAGAGAGGATAGCGGTACGTCAACAGACCCACATATAACGAATGTTTCTTTTCTCTGCACGTGTTGCCTGTTGTTACAATAGCGATTTTTCAGGATTCCAATGGAGCCAAGCCGGCAGAGTGCCCCGCGGAAGATTCAGCATGCGTTAGGCCCAACTACACTTACATCGAAATGATTGCGATGGCAATCGAGTCTGTGCCCAGCAAACAGATGCGAGTGTCCGGTATCTACCAATATTTCATGGATAAATTTGCGTACTTTCGGAACGATGGGGAGTGCTGGAGACGAAATGTCCGTAAGATCTTGAGCTGCGATCGCAAATTTGCTAGGGTCCCGAATGACTGGGCAACAGGTCCGAGCCACTACTGGACCCTCTCTGAATACATTGATACCATAACACGAGTGCAGAACATTTATACCTCTGCCATACCAGCTCGCCACTATGAACCGGTTTGTATATTTTCATTTAAGACGTCAACTTTACATGAATTACAAAAAAAGTCTGAAGCAGAGGGATACGCAGTTATATTGCCTCTACTCAACTGATTTTCTCATTCGCATAAAGAGGGTTTTTTTCAGTTCAGCCCAGCCAGATCATTGGGATTGATAGATAAAGCAATTAATAGACGAATATGACAATGAGAAAGTGGAACGATCCGATGTGGGAGCGGGTGGTTGCAATAGGAAAAAGAGGTTAGTATTAAATAACCAACGGCAACCCTTGACTTAATGGTTGCAATGAACTGTAAAGGTAACTAAAAGACAAACGGCAACCCACAAGAGACCCTAAAGTTAGTCCAACATTTTCCCCCGTGATGTGTAACAACCACTCCTTCCGACCAATAGGATCGCTCCATTTTCCCCCGATCTTCTAAGTCTATCGCTTCTTCTATAAGTTTCAACAAGCTTACAGTGCTCGGTGGTTTTCTGAAAAATTGACAAAAATCGAAGGAGCAGAATGCTACCGTGCTAAGGTAGAACGCCGTATGAACATTCGAGAGTTGCCGAATTTCCTATGATAAAACATGTATTTTTTACAACATTCATGCATATTTTTCTTTGAAATTTTCAGATATTTTAAATTAAATTGTGTACAAAATTGTCTGAAAATGTTGGAAAATAACAATCGCAATTTCCTCAGTAAATTCAGTTTCTACCGGAGGAGACTTGGCAATGTCTGAGGCTCATACGGCGTTCTTCCCTAACACAGCAGAATAGGCGCGAAAAGGGTGCGGAGATTAAGCACAATTTATGTAAGACTGAACTATGTTAGTCGGGAGTATTCAAAACGGAGTATACCTCGAGTGACTTTCGAACACTCACTTACTGATTCAACGAAGATGTTAGAGTATTACGATGGAACTGTGCTGAATTCTGTGCGATTATTATAATGTGCTAGAATATTCTGATGTTGCAAGATTTCTCTCAGTGAACTATTTGTCTAAAAGGAAAATAACAAATATTTATCTTCGAAATTTTCTGATACTTAGACCAACTTGCGGGAATGAAATTCTTTGAAAGAATCGAAACAAATCGCTCACATTTATTTGAAGATTTGGATTTGATCAATGGAAATTTGGCGACATCTGAAGGTCTTCATTATAGCACGGCACAATAGCTCGGCTAAAATTTTACGCTCTGCTTCTTTCCCTTATGTTCCAATACCGATTTTTTCAGGACATCAAAGGAACCGAACCGACAGAGTGTCCTCCGGAAAATTCAACATGCGTTAAACCTGACTATTCCTATTCGGAATTAGTTATAATGGCGATCGAGTCAGCACCTAACAAGCAAATGAGGGTGTCTGAAATCTATCAATATCTTAAAGGCAAATTCGAGTATTTCCGGAACGAAGGGAATTGTTGGAGAAATAACATCCGAAATGCTTTGAATCGAACACCCGGAGTCACGACAGTCCTAATGGACCGGACACCTGGTATCAGGAAAATCTACTGGACCCTCAGTAAATATACTGATACTATAACTCAAAGGCCTGGCATTTCCACTTTTGCCAATTCGTCTTGTAAATCTGAGTATCTTGGACAGGTTCGTATGCTTTTACTAAATCATTGCTTTCAGTTGCTTTAAATCATTGGGACCCCGGGACCCCCCTAACTGCCACGTGACCTCACCCACGCCACAGGTAATAATTATTCGAAATTCGGTTAAGTTTGAGGGACTTCTATCGGGAGCCAATACATATTGGTAATACTTACTTTATAATGCCAACTTTTTGTTTACTTCGGCTGTGGAGGGTTTTCATTTATCGATAGCAATTTCACCCTTATGGAGTTTGAGGCTAAATTTTTGAAAATATAAAGTTACTAGAGGCCTGTGGCCGCTACGCGACCGCCAACCACTGAGAAAAGCTGCACGTAAAAAATATTAGGACAACCAGGTTCAAGTTGTTTAAGAAATGAATGGATTCAAAAGCCGACGGGTGCATGCCGTGCGAAAGAAAGCATAATCCGTCTCTCGCACTGCGTTTGGTGCAATGCGAGAAGTATTCATGCAGTCTTGTAGGCGCTTATACGGGTTTGACGCCGACTGCACTGTTTGGCGCAATGCGTGAAGTATTCTAGCAGTCTTGCAGGCGCTGATATGAGTTCGACACCGACCGCACCATGTTCGGCTCGATTACTCGACCCCGCGTCAGAATAATTGCAGCATCGAACAATCGGGCTTAAAAGGCTCACGTTGTGTTTCGACGCCAATTTGCAGTCCAACGTTACCTCATTTCTCCCGATAAAACATTTTTTCTGAGAAAAGTTAGGTAAGTTTTCTATGGTCGGTTTTTTAGATTGAATGAAAAATTAAACGAGTTACGAATTCAAGCACTCTGATACATGATTCTTCGACAAAATTTCACGCAGAACACGATTCGCGCAACGAATACTTCTGGAATCAACTATTAGCTAAGATATTAATGTTGAATGTTATTAGTGATATATTAATGTGATAATAAAATGTAATATTAATGTTGTATTAATGAGTGTCCAAACAAACCCAAAGTATTATCCTGCGATTTTTCTTTAATAATTGTCCTTTATATTTTCATGGCAATATTTCAGGATACCGCTGGGACAGAACCGAGACCGTATCTTTCGGAAAATTCAGCGTGTATTAGACCCAACTACTCCTATTCGAAATTGATTGAAATGGCCATCAACTCCGTGCCTACCAAGCGAATGAAGGTGGCTGAAATCTACAAATATATAATGGACAAATTCGAGTATTTCCGGAACGATGGAAAGTGTTGGAGAGCTAACGTAAGAAATGAGTTGAGCAAAAAACCCAAGTTTGCAATACACCCCAGAGACGTGTCATTAAATATCGCAAAGAAAGTTTACTGGATCCTTAGTAAATACATAAAAACCACAACTCGAGTGCCCAGCATTTTTGTTTCTGCCACTTTGTCTCGTAAATCTGGAGACCACGGACAGGTTTGTGTTCTTTTAAGTACTGTGTATGAATTGAAGGATTATAATTTTAATGGTATGACTTTATTTGATGTAGTTTGTTTTTGTTCTTCTTTAACTTTATTCTTATTTTACCCGGTTGAAAATGGGGTTGACAAGATCGGAACCGTTCCGGCTTGGCGTTTTCAGCGTCTGAATTTTTTAGCATCCTACACAATTTTTGTGATTCCATATGTACTTGCTTGTATTGATATTTATTGAAAAAAAATTGAAAGAGTTTAAGATTAGCAAGATAATTAAAATAAACCAAGTTTAAGAGGGGCCATATTTCGACAGTATACGTATATCCTTCGTCAAAAATGATTTAGAGTCATTCGCTCCACGAAATTGTCTCATTTTCATGTTTTTAATAGCGCATTTATCTGATTGCATTAAACATAACGAGTTAATGTTTAATATATCGATCGAGTATAAATTTATCGATTTAGTCAATGAGGACTTTGACATCCTCCTCAATGCAGTATATTAATTAACACTCCTTGATGATGTTTACAGACTCTTGAGACAGGTGAGACCACTTGTCCTCCGGAAAATTCTGGTTGCAGGAAACCGTCACACTTTGCTTGAGAAATATAATCACGATGGTGATCAACTCCACTCAGAGCAAGCGAATGAAGCTGGCTGAAAGATACATTTAAATTTGTGGTAACTTTAAGTAGTACCAAAACCATGGGCATTGTTGGCGAGGTTATACTCAAAGCACGATCGTTAACACGA